GAACTGAAGAAGTTACCAAGTGCAAGGCCACCACTAAGCTTTCCTCTTCAAATGTGCGCACAGAAAGCATTGCCAATTTTTCACCATGTGTTGCTTGCAAGGGCAAGAATCCATTAGGGAATTGCAGCGTTTTTAAAGATAAGACACCCACAAAAAGAGCCAAGCTGTGCATCGACAATAAACTTTCTTTCGCTTGCCTCTAGGGTAATCAATAATTCCGATGTTTGACCTAAAGCTAGAAAAAGGTTCCAAGCCTAATTCTGACAGCACCCATAATGTGCTCCTCCTCGGCGTTGAACGGGTATTTCCTCCTCAAGAACAAGAACAACGAGTAGCCAATGCCAACAGTTTGGCTTCTAATACCAGCATAGAAAATGCAGCTAAGAAAGCCACAGTAGCGAAAACTGTATCTATAGTAAGCACAATTTCCGCAACTCTCAGTGTGCATAAGTGTCTGCTGCCTGTGATAGAGTTAGAATTTCCCACTCAGTGGCACCAATACCAATGCGCTGGTTTTGTGCGACAGTGCTTGCAGCAACTCATACATGTCGTCAAGCCTTGCGAAACGCTTCAATCTTGAAAGACGAGACTTGAAATTAACCGTGAAAGGAATTAATATATCAGAAGTAATTCATAGTCAGGAATCTGATATTACCGTATCTTCAGAAACTGCTGAATCCAAAATTGCCTTTGAAGTTTCAGTTTACGTTCGAGACGCCCTCAAAATTGGGTCTGAAACAATTGATGTGGCTTCGCTTCAAGAAACAAACCCGTAAATGCACCCCGTAACTCCGTCAGTCTTAAGATATTCAGATGTAGAGCTAATCCCTAGGACAAGAAGTTTACTATGTCATCATACTTTTGGAGTACTTTCATAGCCGGGATCAAAACTCTCCTCTAGCTGTCCGTTTACCCATTGATTGGGCTTTGAGTCGTCGTTTACCGTTCACATTTGGTTTAGTCTCGACTTGCTTCAAATGTAACATCGAGGATGAATCTCTAGTCGATCAAGTCAAGTCATGGTGTGAAAGGGAGTCAAATGGTACATACAAAACCGTTGATGCCAGAACATCAGCCGAGAAAAGAGCCACTAGCGTTCTTGAAAGCACTATCAAACATGATGGTTCCCGTTTTTCAGTCGTAAAAAGCTTTGGGCAGATTATAATGTGAAATTGTCGAACAACTATTTCTCCGCACTTTGTTCAGCTCAAATCATTGGAGAAGCGCTTAAGTGAAGACGAGTCTCTGCGTCTTCATTATCAGAAAAAATATCTGACGACCTAGAAAAGGGTTATGAGATTCAATTCGAACCGCATTACCCAAAAATGCGCCTTAACCATAAGTGGTACCTACCGGACCATCCAGTCATTCAACCCAAACAAACCAAAAATTTACGAAGAGTGTTCAACGGAGCTTCCAAACTTCATGGGTTTTTGCTCAACGAATCACTTCTTGTTGGTCCAAGATTAGCTGCAAATGTCCTAATCCGTTTCGGTCAACATCGAGAGAATGTTTCTCCAAGTCGGAGTCCTTCCGGAAGACCAACCATCTTTGCGTTTTCTATGGCGGGGAAGACCCATCAACAGAAGTAATGGTATTTCAATACATTCGTCATATATTTGAGAGCACGTGACTCGCCAACGTGCGCAAATTTCGCTCCACAGCAGACAGCTAAAGATAAAGAGTCCATTTATCCTGAAGCCGCTGCAGCTGCTTGCGAAAAATTTTACATGGATGACTACTTGGTTTCCACACCGATTGTTGAATAAGCCGTGAACCTAAGTACAGATTTAGTTAAGATTCTTAGTAAAGGAGGATTTAAATTGACCAAATTTGTCAGCAACATTCCTGAAGTCTTAAGGAAGCTAAGCCTGACTAGCAAAGAAATCGAAAATGTTGAAGATACACTCGTGAGCCCCGATAGCTCGTCGGATGTCTTCGTCCTGGAATGGGATCACATGAAAGACACCCTAGTAAGTCGAGGTGTAAGTTGTGATCTGCAGAAAGACATCCCACAACGAACCGTGTTACTTTTGTGTCTTCAGTGTTTGACCCCATTGGTCTTGTTGCACCTTATACGGTACAAGCGCGCCTCCAGTTAAAGGAAATTTGGCGTCTTAAAGGTAAACAATGGGACGATTCCTTGCTTGATGACAATTAAGACAAGTTTTTGCAGTGGCACTCAGGTTTACCAATGCTAGCTTACTTCAGTGCGCCTGCAGATACGGTAGAACTACACATGTTTGGCGACAGTTCGCTCTAAAACTTTTGTGCAATTGGGTTTCTTCGTGGTCGCCTGTCAGAATTTCAGGAGACAGAGGTCAGTTTTGGAAAGGCTCGTGTAGCGCCAATTGAAAGCCATGTCTATACCCAAACACGAACCGCAAGGTGCCTTATTGGCTACTCGGCTAAAAGAAGAGATTCATAGAGCCTGGAACATTCAGATAGCCCAAACATTCATGTGGTCTGACTGTAGAACTGTTTTACAGTGGCTCCACATAGGTGATAAGGAACCTATCCTCGTAGCCAATAGAGTTGGCGAGATCTTAGAATCAGCAACCGTAGATGAATGGTATCACGTAGCAACCGGTGATGATCCCGCAGACACAGGTACAGCCGAAGCGCTTTGTGAAAACTGCTGGGTCAAGAGACCGAGGTTCTTTAAAACTGCTGTCTGGCCATTTCAACCATCTCTAGAAGTTGTCAGAAAAATACGCCGCAAAGAATCAGCTGCAGATGTAGTTGGAGTCTCTCTAATTCTTAGCGAATCAGATACAGCAGTCGATAATGCTATCATTAATTGGGAAAAATCAGCTTTTTTTCTAAACTCTTGCGCATAGCAGCATATGCTCTAAAACTCATTCCTAGACACACGCACTTCCGTCCGTCTGATAAGAGTGTGAAAATTCGGAGCATGAATTAGCCAAGGCAAAGCTCTTTCAGCTCTCGGCAGAAATCAAAGTGCTCGACAGCGACAATACCGTAGAGAAGTCTAGTCGAATAGCAGTTTATTCCCCATTTATAGGGCCAAATTGTCTTTTAAGCTCAACTGGTCGCATTCGGTGTCTTGTTGAAATCAGTTTTGAAGCAAATATCCTGTGATATTAGATAGTCGTCACTGTCTGGTTACACTTTTCGTTCGCTATCTTCATCTCAAGTTTTATCAGTCGTTTGATTATATGCGCGCAGTCATCCAATCTTGGTTTGCCGTCTTGAAATTGAGATTAACCCTTCGTAAAATCGAAAACAGATGCGTTCCATGTCGAAGACACAAAGCTAAGCGCGTCAATCCCATGATGTCGGTTCTCCCTCTAAAACGTTAGGGGTACTAAAAATCTGCCGTTTGTCACTGCGGAGTTGACTTTTCCGGCCCAGTTTATGTATCTGTCCATAGCAGCTCAGAGAAGCGGTGGAGATTTCTTGTTACTTGCATGACGACACGAGCGGTCCATATTGAAAATTTACTTTCCATGGATGGCAATTCGTGCGTCATGGGTATTGAGAGGTTCATTGCCCGCCGAGAAACTCCGCCTGTCATCTGGTCGGATACGGCACAAACTTCGTCGGCGGCGAAAAAGAACTGATGAAGTTCATCCAATTTTGGAAACAGCAGGCTCCCAAACGATTAGTACACAAAGGCATAAAGTGTAAATTTAGTCCACCTAGTGCGCCACATTATGGTGGCTCATGGGAGCGTCTGGTAAGGTCCTGCAAGTGTGCATTCTATTTGATACAGGGAACACGCAAACTAACGCCAGAAGTAATTTTTAAATGCACGACCACTGATTCCAATAAACAGTGATCCGGATAGTTTGGAAGCTTTTACGCCTACCATTTCCTACTTGGGCAGGCAAGTGCGGCAATACCTTCCTTAAGCTTTGAGGAAGATTTCAAATATGGAAAACGGTTCATGCGTGCGCAAGCAAATGCAATTGCAATTGGGTCACGATGGCTAGGCGAGTATGTACCAGGTCTCAATAAACGAGCCAAGTGGCGCTCCTCTCCTGAACAGGAACTCAAGATAGGCAATTTAGTGTGGATAGTAGAGTCCGCCAACCCCCTAGGTTATCATCCTTTAGCACGCATTAGAACGCTTAACTTCGGAAAAGACGGGGTGGCCCCATCCGCCGTGCTAAACACCTTGAATGGTGACATTACCCGTCCGGTAAAAAAAACTCGCACCAATCCTCGCTTCCTTGGGGGCGGAGGATGTTGCCACACAAATACTCTCTTATAAGCGAGAACATAAAACCAAGTTAATTGAACTAAATTAAGATTAGTTGGTCTAGTACAAAGCTTAAGAAACTGACCATACCGGTTCGGCGTAGGTTCGAGCCCCCCAAAAAACCAATGCTTTTACCCGAACCCAAATGTATATATAACAAAGACTAATAAAAAACATAGCAAAATGACCTTGTCTGACAGGTTATTGCCGTCTGTATGTGATTTACCGCTTATAACAAAAATGCTGTTATGTTAACACGTTAAGCCGTGATTGTGCCTAATTTGTTGAATGATTTATTCGTTCATATCAACAAATCTGCGATTTATGCCTTTTCCAGAATTAATTAAAGTTGGTTAATTCATCTTTTACTTATTTTGTGTGAGATATTTCAGGGTTTGAGTTAAGCGCGGTCACAGTAATTTACTTTCAGAAGACCGGATCAACATAAATTTTTATTCCGCCGGTATGTCTGAAAATTTAAATCCACTTTCGAAATTACACGTCAAAGACGTTTTTCGTTTCCTTTATGCGTTTGTCATTAGAGAGCGTAAAATGCCAACCTTTCAGTAAATGAACTCAAATTGAACAAGTGTAATTATACCTAGTGCATTTATAAATGAGTTGATTTGTTTGACTTCACTTCTGTTGTTATAAGGGCATTTTAATTTTTTTTCTCAATTTTTTGTATATCTTCAAGACCTATATAAGAGTCTTCACTACTTTCATCGACTCTTGGAAACAAGGAAAAACTTGCTGTAAAAATCTTTGTGTGCAGTCATTTTCAATTATTTTTTGTTAATAAGGCAGAGAAAAATAAAAACAATCGATTTTTTTTGCTAAGTAAGGCAACACTTTTGTGATTTGGCAATAAAGTTTATGGCTAATTAAAATCATAGTTTTGAATAATCCGTTTAGACTGTTATTCACTCATTTTTGACCTCCAGCTGATTTCTGTGGATTTGTCGATGCATTACTGTCATTCGATGAACTTGCAGGAGGAGTGCTTGTTGCAAAAGTGACCTTTCCTTTCAGATTTTTAGCTTTGAATTCATCTCTGCGTTCTTTTTGTTGTCGCTTGATTTCCATCAGCTCCTATAATCAAAAACTTTAAAACTTCATTCGAAAAAAAAAGAAGTTGAAAAACAAAACTTCCCACGGATTTTGATAAGCTCAGTACGAATTTTAGCTATTTTTTGTTATTCCATCATTTGGGGGGTTTGAAGCCGATTGGCAGGGGTTTATCCAAGACATAGATGTGGAACTGTGCGTTTTTTTTTCATATAGCTAGCATCTTTTTTGAAAATTGTTCCAAAAATTGTACTTTCACCAGCTGCTTTAAATACCATAAGCAAGGATGATAAAAACAAAGAGAGCACTTTGCATACCATCTCCTCCTGTCTGGCGATGAGTCGGTTGATTGACACCTGCAGTCTCTCCAGTTTGGCCTCCACCTCGTCCCCCTCGTCGTCCAACACCAGTGCCCGGTTGATGGGGAAGAAGTCGTAGTTCTCACGCTGCAACTACACACCAGCAACAAAAACCATAGTTTGTTCAAAATATTTTTAGCACCCCTTTCTGTTTGTAAACTATTGCGACGAATGCACCTTAAGAAAACCTTTGGATTGTTTGATTAAAATGAATGCAATAAACAAGTGGTAACCCTCTGAAAAAAAAGTAAAGGAAGTCAGATTTGGGCTCTTTTTCCTTTTCCCCCCACCTGCAATTTTTTTAGAGTAATTTTTCTGTTCACATTGTCGGATTGGCATACGGACTATTTAGGCCCTGATAAACATATTTAGTCTTCATACTCAACCTTGTAAAACCACTCGTTACACCATGAAATCTATATTTATGTGAGGTGGGGGGGGGGGGGAGGGGGGGGAGTAAAAAGAGCCCAGAATTGAGGATGGGAGTGGGTCAACTGATGAAGAGTTCCTTTTAGAGTTAACCAACTGGATTCGAATTGGTTAAATTGTGCAATGGTCCCTTATCTTTTGTCTTATTTCAGATTAGCTATGTGATGTCACAGACGTCTTAACAACATGACCTTGCATTCTGAAGATCATTTTATCACACAAAACGAATATCATACACCAACCACCCCTTTTATCCGACATCAACCACTGAACACAACAATAAGAAGGATAGCCGGTTGCTGTGCAAGTAGTACTGAATGTTCAACTCATATTCATAGAAGAAATACATAAAATATATATTTTTTTCAAATTAGATTAGTTTTTTTTGTGCATGGTGAAAAAAATGATCCGATGAAAGCCTAGAACTTAACCATACTTGACAGTGACAGTAAAAGTGGCAAAAGCGGCAAAATTGGCAAAAGGTTTTATTGGAAAATGATAAGAAAAAGAAAATATTGTGAAAAAATTCAAAAAGAAATCTGAATTCCGAAGTTTTTTTTTAAACTTTTGCATTTTTGAAGTGTTTTTTTCACTAAATGGCGCTAAAAAAATTTTGAAACTTAATTTTACAAGAATTCAATTGAAGTATAATGGCTTATCCTATCAAAATAAGCCTGCTCGATCGCTTTACTCGCTTGAATATGTTCTGCAATTCTGCAAATTTTGAAGCCGTTTTCCCGACACTAGGACAACTTCATGAAAGTTTCTTAAAATCGTTCGAATCATATTCTAATCAGGACTGAAAGGGCTTTAATATGAAAAAACGAAAACACACCCGAATAAAAATTCCTCACATTTCCGATGGTCGGAACTATCAAAGTGTTGAAGGAAAGTGAGGCAACACCCGCAATTAAGAAAAGTGAAAACAAATCGATTATAATGGTTTTTCGTGGTCTAAAAAGTTGTAAAAACAATCGATTCCCATGTTACGTTCAGACAACAAAATTGGAATAAAAATGGATTTAAATCCATTTTTATCGCCAAAACAAAATGCATCATAATTCAGTTGGAATCCATTAATGTGGATTTTATAATAAGTAGAAAATCACATTAAAATGGATTTTTTTTCCACTTTATTTTTGTTTCGCGCTTCGTGCAAAGTTTTGCAGGAATTTCTGCATTTATCAAGTGAACGAATTGCAAAAAGATTCCGTTAAGCTCTCCCCCATCCCCCAACGTTTGCCCCTTTGATCCCCTTCAATCCTCCTAACGTTTGTTCTTTTGCTACACACCCCCCCTCCCCACTGAATCCCTCCCAATGCCCCCAGCTTCCCCCCTTCCACCTGAATCAACCCCCCATCCCCACCTGAACCATCCCCTCACATGTATCCCCCCCCCCACCTGAACCCCCCCCCCCCCCCCACTTCAGTTTTCGAGTAAGATAAAAAGTAACAAAAATATCAAAGTTAGGCAGAAAAAAAAATGCAAAAGAACAACCAGTAACCAACGTAACCAATTTTAGTTTAAAACGTAAAAACGACTTTATGTGCGTTGAAATTCGCATCTCAGTAAAGTGAAAACAAAAATGATTATAATTTAGTTTCATCGTCAGTGTCCACAAAAGTGAAAAAAAATCAATTATAATGGATGAAAAAAGGATTTTGTTGCCTCGAAAAATAGTAAAATTATAATCCATTTTTAATTGATTATAATCTATTTGTTTTCACATTTGTAGACACTGACAAGGAATTTCAATTATAATCGATTTTTTTTTCACGGAACTCCAATGCGGGCACCTACCAGTCTGTATATATATAGGTCAAGGGCAGTGTAGTCGTTCTTCCTCGTGTCGTCCAAGTGGATGAAGTAGAACAAATACGCCCACATGTTGTGCTCCTTCTTGACGTGGAAGTCGAAACCCTGCCAAAAAAAACAAAGATAACCTCAACCAAAAACCAATTGAATCACAACCAATCCAGCGACATCTTCAAATAAAAGTTTAAATTGCAAATAACAACATAAAGCATTGAAACCCGCACTGACATAATTGGAGAAGGATCGATTTTGGTATGAAAAAACTACGAAGAGTAAGTAGAAAAGATAAAAATTGATTTGGATCGATTTACAATCGGTTTTAATTGATCGTAAATCCCAGCCACAAAAATTGATCAAAATCGATCTTAAACTGATTTGAATCCATTATTTCTAGTCTTAATTTGCTGTTGTTTTGAAGGGGATTAAAACAGTTTCAAATCGTTTTAAATCAATTTTGTCATTCGAGTTTTATCAGTTTTAAATTTGTATTGCATTTTATCATTGCCTATCATTTTTCATTTTACATCCATGGCGTATTGTAGCATAAAAAAAACCAATAAAAAGACCAAAATCTCGATAAAATTCTATGATTTGCTTGCATATTTTGAGTTCAAAAACTGATCTTTTTTGACCCTTTTCTTGATTCGTTTCATAAGTTTTTGCTCAAAATCTGATTTACATTCGTGATTTTCTATGCTTTAATTGTATTTATTGAGATCGAAACTTAATTTATTCTGACGTTTCTTTCGTTTGTTACATAAGCTTTTGCCCATAATCTGATTTACAATGATTTTTCTATGTTTTCAAAGCATAATTTCGAGCTCAAACTCTGATTTACGTTTATCAATTTTTTGAATTCCCCATCTGGCACGTGTGTTTTTGAATAAAAAATCGAAAAAAAAAATTTAAAATTTTTTTTCTTAAGAGTAGGTTTTCTTGCCGTTTTAGTAAAAATATTGATTTTAGTGAGTCTGAAAACCCATCCAAGTTTTTCCAAAGACACTTAAATCGATCCAAAAAAATTTTCTAGAAATATCGAGTTAAATCGATTTCAAAATGATTCAAGTGAGAATCGGATGGATTTAAGTGAATTTTGGATGCATTTTAGTGAGTCGGAAAATCCATCCAAAGTGATTTAAATCGATTTTTTTAGACACTTAATTCGGTCTAAAAATTTTTAAAAAGATTGATTTAAATTGATTTAAAATCCATTTAAGTTCGTAAAATTTGCATTAATAATCGATTTGGATCGATTTAAAATCGATTTGTAATCAATTTAAATCGATTCGAAACCATTTTCGTCAGTGTGGGAATAGCCAATTCCTATGACGGTAGTTGAAATACTGCTGAGGTTGTCTAAGTCTATTTGGCAGGGTTTCGACTACGTAAAAAACATTGGCTATTTTATTTCCTACAGTTGTGATCTGCAATTTAAATTTTTATTTGAAGATGTCGCTGGATTGGTTGTGTTTCAATTAGTGTTTGGTTCTGCTCTACTTTACGTAGAAAGTTTCATTCTAAAGTTTTCGAAAAAAAACTCGCTGATCTGAAAGAATTGATCGTTGGTTTGCAAAGTGCTCTCCGAATCATTTATACAGCTATTGTCATGGCCATTCCAGGAAAGTCAGTTTCTTTTCTGTTTTTTGTTCTACCGTATGACAACCTTATTAGGAAATTTAGCAACTTAGGTCCATTCAATGTGAAAAGACGATTAATTTTTTTCAAAAAAACTCAAAAGAATTTTTTTCTTCCTTTTTTTTCAAGTTTATTAGTCATTTTCAGAAAATTGGGGATTTGGTACAAATGTCTGCTATGTTTTCAGACAGCAACAGCTTGTATTATTGTTTGAGATTTAGTTTTATCCGTATACTTTTCCGTAGTGTTCAAAGTCGTAGCTGGACCGGCTGCACATGAAGCACTTGCTGGTCATGTCATCCTCTGTCTGCCACTTGAGGTCCCTCAATTCAGAGAAGGTGTCCACGATGATACCGAAGATGATGTTCATCAGAATAGTGACGAAGATGATGAAGAAGGTGACATCATACAGGTTTCGCATGGCATAGTGCTGGAAGTCCTGGTAGCCAGCTGGCACAGTCACGTGCTACAACAGAATTCATTAGAATACACAATTAATGACTCTGCATCTCTTAAAAAACATAGATTTGCAGCAGCTTAGAAGTTTATATCATTATATTACAAAAAGCGAATCATTATTGCTCCGGCAACTTAAAAGGGGTGAGAAGGAAGGCTCGTTTCCAGTTCCTTCCCCCCACCTTTCAAATTCAATTTTGAAAAGCTTATTTAACGTTGTCATAATGCAATGAAATTTGGCGTGGTGAACAAATCGACAATTCTGAACAGATTTGTTCTTCATACTTAACAGCGTAACATCACGCATTTAGCCGTAATAACACGTAAAACAAACATAAAACTCGCTAATTTGAAAGGGGGGAAACTGGAAAAGAGCCAGAAGGAATGATGGTGTAGAGGGTAGGGTGATTTTGCCTGCCTCAAAGAACGCTTGTAGGGTGTCAAAAAAGGTATCATACAGAAGTTTTATTGACCGTAGTTTGTAAGTGTTTTTAAAAAAATTGGTCCGAATGCTTTTGATTTTCAGCTCAAGTTTCTTTTGTACGACAGTTTGATGGCATTGAGCACAAATTTAAGGATACGGTGCTCCTTATATTATGTATTCTTATCTCATTCCTGAAAAATTAATACTCTTTATATCCCCCTTAAATGGGACAAACAAGAAGCAATTTAGAAAAAAAATACATGCATACATGAATTAGATTTTATGTTTTATAGGGATTTTTGGTTTTGTGAAATTATAATGTAGTATTCGGAATATTCCGTTCTGCTTGCTCAGCAACCAGTTATCCTTGTTATATTCAGTGTAAAACACGGAGGTGGGGCCTTCTATCAAATAGCCGAGACTACGCTGCAAAAATTCAACCAAAAAAAACAAAACTCATTCAATGTTCCGGATTTGAATCTCCGGCCTGTTGATTAGGAGTCACATCCTCGCATCTGCGCCACGGTAGCTTGGAAGTAAACTTGTGGCCCAGCTAATGCTGGATCCACCTATTTAAATATTTTTTGATTTAATCACTCTTTCAGTTGAAGGCTTTATCTCAGATTTGGCTGGATAGTTTTCGAAAAAAGTCAAAAAGATTCCAAAAAACGATCAAGAAGTCAAAAATTTTACTTTTCCTAAATCGATAAACTTTCTCTTCTAAAGTATGGTAATATACTTTCATGCAGAGTGAGCTAGTATTTTCGAGAATACCAATGAAATTTGAAAAAAAACGGTAAAAAATTTCAAACAATACCTTTTTCCGAAGTGCAAATCAGCTTTTCTACGAACAAAATAGGTGAGACAGATTGCGCAGAAAAAATGATAGCTCCGTGTTACTTTGAATGATTTATCAACCTCAAAATCAGCCGGCTAGTTTTTGAAAAAGAAACTAGCCGGCTGATAAAGATTAAGTTTCCAAAAAAAAACGGTCAAAAGTTCAAAAATTAGAGTTTTTCTAAGCCCACATTTTGTTTTCAAAATGCAATGCTTAGCCGCTTGCTCAGGGAAAATTCGCATAACTTATTTTTTATCTTTCGATTAAACACTAAATTCATTCGAATTATCAATTGAAACCTGATTAAACCCTGAATTCAATTCAAAATTCAAAAAAAGTTTCAAAAAATGGGCTTGGTTGAAAGTGCAAATCAGCTTTACTACGGACAAAATAGGTGAGACAGATTGCGCAGAAAAAATGATAGCTCCGTGTTACTTTGAATGAATTATCAACCCCAAAATCAGCCGGCTAGTTTTTGAAAAAAAACTAGCCGGCTGATAAAGATTAAATTTCCAAAAAAAAACGGTCAAAAGTTCAAAAATTAGAGTTTTTCTAAGCCCACATTTTGTTTTCAAAATGCAATGCTTAGCCGCTTGCTCAGGGAAAATTCGCATAACTTATTTTTTATCTTTCGATTAAACACTAAATTCATTCGAATTATCAATTGAAACCTGATTAAACCCTGAATTTAATTCAAAATTCAAAAAAAGTTTCAAAACATGGGCTTGGTTGAGGCTAAAACCTTGTTTCTCCCGAATTTAGGGAATGGCTATTTAAAAAGGGGCTATTCCCATTATTTGTTCTTTTTGTTGAAATCCTCAACTCAGATTTTTGCATTTGATATTTCAGAAAAAACAACAGTAATTCAAAACAAATAGGTCAAAAACCCCTCTACTGAAACTATCGAAGGCCGTAAAACGTGGAGTAAAATTTCTTTTACAGTAAAAAAACGACTACTCGGTCTTTCAAATGAAGTCTTTATCTCAGATTTAACTGGATAATTTTCAGATGAAAAAAAATTCTGAAAAACGATGAAGAGTTTGACTTTTCCTAAATCCATAAACTTTTCTCTATTAAATCATGGGATCACTGGTGCAAATACTGGAACACTGGTGCAATTCTTTTGAAAGCGTCGTAATCAGGCAACCAAAAATAACAAAACCCATAGGAATTTCGAAACATTTTTTTTTTCAGACCGGACATAACACTAGCCAAGACACAGCAGCAAACAGATGTTTTTAAAATTGCTCATGCTTAAATAGATTCAAACATGATTAAGTTGAAAGATTCCAAAGTGCCACTAAATGAGCACTTTTATTTGCGACCTAGTTTAGAAAAATTATTCGTAATAATATACTACGCTTCGCATGTTATAACATCATTCAACCTTATCTGACGTTTGCTTGAGGTTATAAGGTGCAAAACATTTTTTAATACACCCTGAGCAGCGAAAAAAAATTAAAATGATTTCTCAAGCCAGCGTTCTTGAAACTTTTAAAAATCGTTCGTTCCACAACTGGCTGAGAAAATTTTAATATGCTAACATTCGATCGCAACTGACGTTTGCTTAAGATTCTTGATTTTGTATGGAAAAAGTAGAATCAAATTGTAGGGATACAAAATTTAGTTCCATTTTCCAAAACGAAACTGAAAGTTCAGAGTTTTGCAAAAAAGATATCTGGAAATAGGTTCGAAGCACTAATGCTTAACCGTATTTTGCCATCACCTGGACTGGATTATTATAACAAATTTGAATTGTATATAAAGTCT